CCGTTGGAACTGCTAGATCTGGGGCGAATAGCGTGGTGATGTTCGTCTAACAAGCCACCGAAGTTGGAACGCGTCCGTCTTCTCAACGAAGATTCGAGGGATGCGATGCTGATTTGGGGTTTCGTTTCGACGGACACTGTTCCATGGTAACAGCCAATACAATTCTTTGATGGATTCTGAGATTCGTAAATGGCGCTCCTGCTGTTGTTGTTGATGACGAGCCTTCAGGGTGTCGCCCACGTTGGAGAATGTGGCCCGTGCACCCACTAAAAAATAAGCGACGTGGGCTCTTGTCGAAATACCTATCCATTGTGCGAACTCCAACGACCGACAATCCAACTCACATCAACACCGTCGTCATGGGTAGGGTCATTCGCAACCAACGTAAGGGTCGCGGCTCTATCTTCACGGCCAACACCCGCCTGAACAAGAACCCCGCCCAGTTCCGCACGCTCGACTTCGTACGTTCGCCGCCCGCACAATCGCGATATTGGACACACACATATTGGGATATGAGGGCTAATGGGTGCAGGCTGAGCGCAATGGTTACATTCGGGGTGTCGTAAAGGAGATCGTCCACGACTCCGGTCGTGGTGAGTACCCAGCCGCGAATTGGACGTCTGGGCCATTTTTAACGATTTCGTGAACAGGCGCTCCCCTCGCCAGGGTCACCTTCCGCAACCCCTACAAGTTCAAGCAGAACACCGAGACCTTCATCGCCAACGAGGGCATGTACACTGGCCAGGTCAGTCGAAATACCCTGGGCCGCAACAACGGGAATTATATCTAACATTGCCAAGTTCATCTACGCCGGAAAGAACGCTGCGCTCACCATCGGCAACGTCCTCCCTCTCGCTTCCGTCCCCGAAGGTACCGTCCTCACCAACGTCGAAGACAAGAACGGTGACCGTGGTGCGCTCGGCCGTACCTCCGGTAACTACGTGACCGTTATCGGCCACAACCCCGATGAGGGCAAGACCCGTGTCAAGCTCCCATCTGGCGCCAAGAAGGTCCTTCCCAGCTCGTGCCGTGGTATGGTCGGTATCGTCGCTGGAGGTGGCCGCACAGACAAGCCTCTCATGAAGGCGTCGCGTGCTAAGCACAAGGTATGTATTGTGGTCGTGTTTGGATCAGCGCAGTCACTAACACCCCACAGTTCGCTGCCAAGCGCAACAGCTGGCCCAGGACTCGTGGTGTTGCCATGAACCCCGTCGACCATCCCCACGGTGGTGGTAACCACCAGCATATCGGTAAAGCCTCGACCATCTCCCGGTACGCCACCCAGGGTCAAAAGGCCGGTCTCATCGCCGCGCGGAGGACAGGTCTGCTCCGTGGTACCCAGAAGACAAAGGACTAGAGTGGTGCTTTGTGATCTGGTGGCGTTGGTCTACGACAGGAACGACAAAGATGCGGTCGGTTATTCTCTCCATACCTCTATATGCGGGTGGCCGGGCGTTATAACGAAATGGAAACTTCTCGGCAAGCTAGGCTTTCTTCTACTGTGGCTTGCATGCATGATAGGTTCTTAGGGAATGTGATTCCGAAAAATGCATCTGGTCTGAACTTCTGATATCGTCCACCGTTCATTGTATCTGTCTGTGCTGTGACGTTGTGTTCTGATACTAAATATGTTCCACAGCAGATCCCTCGATGTCTCCATGTCGCATAGATGCATGTCACGGCTTGATTCTTGGGATTGGACATTGCCACAGATCAACGACCCTCACGCTCCACCCATCTCCACATCGCCATCTCTGTCCTCCGCTTCGCTCTCAGTCCCAGTCCCACTACCCTCATCCCCGTCTTCCTTCTCCTTCTTCATCCTATAGTCCATATCCAACACGCGATAATGTTTCCTATCATCGCCCAACACAACAATCACTCTCCTGCCCTTCCCGCCATTCACAACCAACTTCATCGGCGTGAACCGGCCTTCAAACACATGTTGCGTGTGCTTCTCAATCAGCTCTCGCGTTACAAGTATCTTGTTTCGTGGCGGCGGCGACGGTGTGCCTTGAGGGAGAAAATGTTGCTGTAGCGAAGACTGCGGAAGCGGGGTGTAGGTGATGAGAGGGTGTTGGTGAGGTATGTCATTAGCGGCGGGTGTGTACGGTAGGGATACGATGACGTTTGATAGCGATTTATCCTCTGAGGGGAGCTGCAAGAGGATGAGGAGGCAGGCGTCGTCTGCGAACTTTGCGTCGAGGATCTTGATGTTTTCGGTCGAGGGAGAGGCGGAAGAGAAGTCAAGGGTGGAGATGGCGTAGGCGTGGATGTCGCGCTGTAGATTGGATATACTCTCTCTGTGAGAGAGGCGGTGGATGTGTAAGAGAGTTGGCGATGAAGGGGGTGAGAGCGCGATGTAGGTACTCATGCTGTCTGAGGTCGATGATGGCTGTGTAGTGTTAGTATTTGTGACTTCTGAAGCGTTGGTGAGGAAAAGGAAATAGAGCAGCATACCTCAAATACCATCCTCATATCCAGTGCACCCATCTCACCGGTTTCGTTCATCTCTTCGAGAACAACACCAGAGTTCATCTGGATGTTGGCTTCTTGCCACCTGCTAATCTGCTTCAGCAGCCCCGTGACACCTGTGCTCAAATGGCCGAGAACATGTTCAAGGCATAACGCCTCCTCTTTAAACGTCGCACCTTCTCTCAACAAATCGATAGCCTTCTTCGTATCATCATAGCTCGCTTCCTCCCTCCCCCTGGCTTTACCATCCAACTGCACCTCTGGTCTCAGGAACGGCGTAACATCCGACTTGGTAAGCCCATACTGGATATACGCCAGTACCTGCGAAACATCGACACCGGGGTCGCGCTGTTCCATCTCAGCTCTAGACTGCGAGTCCAACTCGGTAGCCTCAAAGTCAATGGTGAATCTCAACCATTTACTGAAGCTGTGGAACTGTCTCTTCTCTTCCGATGCGTACAACATGGCTGTGTGGGCTAGCAATCGCATATTCTTCAGCGTCTCTAACAGCGATGAGAAGTCCGTCATTGGTCCGCTGAAGATCCAATCTCGGTCGTGGAATTGCGCGAGACCACGTAGACGCGAGATGACGATGGAGCAACGGTCGAGTGCTGGGATGAGGTTCTCGTGAAGCAGAGCAAGAAGCGTGGTGAAGGAGGAAGTAACGGTGTTGTCCCAGCGCTTGTGTCCTGCTTCTGCCAATTCGTCGACAAGCCATTCTTTGAGGACCGGGTTGCAGTTTCCTGTGCATGCTGTGTGGAAGAGGTTCGTGACAAGATCGCCTAATTCCTTCTCTTCGAGTGTTTCGCTAATGTTCATCATGAATTTTCGGGGCAGGTCTTGCGCGTGCTTGAAGAAAGCGCGGACGCGCTGGAGGGTTTGGGTGATGTACAGGAGCAGGTTCTGTAGTTGTGATGTCTTTGCTGCAATCAGATGCAGATAGATGCCTGCGGAGGGGATGAAGTTCAGTGTCAGAGGGATATAGGCGATGCTCTTCCTTTGTGGCGAGGTGGTCGATGACGTTTGCATCAGGAGGCTGTGTGTACAGCTGTATGGGTGACTTGTATGCAGTATTGGCGTGCTCGACATGTTCCAGGCTCTCGGGAGCTGGACGTTGACTGTTTCGAGCGAGTCGTATATCGAGGGGTGGACGGTTCCACGGTCGGTCAGTCGAATGAACATATCCACAGAGTTGTGGTCTTTCAGATGATGCGAATGCAGAAGCGAGTCCACCTCGGCTTGCGAACTGAACGCTCCAGTATCCGCCTGTGAGACGCGCATGAAGGGTAATGCCGGTGCAAGGGGAATTGCGGGGAGTTTGGGTAGCACCGATTCCATATCCATCATAGCAAGCTGATCCGGCAGGTCAGGCGCGATATCTAAGGTTTGAAAGTCCGGCTGTCGCTGCAAAAAGTCCTCCAGCGTGGTATCATCCTTGAACGCATCCCATTCCTCCGTTGTCGGATTGCCGAAGACATCAGTCTTCGCAGGCGTAACGCCGTTGGCATTCTTCGGTTTCAAGCCGGTGCGCTTCTTCACAGTCTCCACATTGATGAAGTTCAGGCCCCAGCCTATACATCTCACCCTAGCTGGATTCTCATCTTCTACCATGCTACTAGTGGCGCCCTCGACTTCCGGCAACATGACGTCCTTGTGCGTGACCTTCCCCGTCTCGGCACTCACCAAGTCCGTGCTTCCATCGCTCCAACTGACAGCGATGCTCTTGCCGTTGAACTCCCACTGCAGCGCATCAACGCGCAAATCCTCGCTCTTTCTTTTCAGTCCAAATGCTCTTTGACCATTAATTCGGTAGACGTCGAGGCTCTCCTCATCGGTGACTAGCGCTATGAGATCCATGGTAGGGCAGTACGAGATGAGATGTGGATGTATCGGGCGCAGCAAGATCTTTTCCGCTTGCTGCAACAACTGCGGCCCATTGCTCGAGTCGGTCATGGCCATGGCTGTAAGTAGTCGGCCCCAAAGGCCGTTGTTGAAGGAGTCGGTTCGTAAGTGGAGGATGATGGTTTGTTTGTGCACATAGAAGTCGCGTTCTAGACCAGATCTGTGCCTAGCGCGCTCGCGCTATCACGTTGTTCAACACGACAAAAGCTCAGAACTGCAGGAATGGACAGCATCTTGTCCCCAACATGGCATCGTGCGAGATGCACTTCTCAAAAGGGTAGGTAAAGCACGTGACACGTGAAATTCATGCCTGATGATTGAACATAGAAAATATCTGCAATTCGAGTGCTAAAGAAAGATACCATCCTTCCTCTATGCCTTCTGGGTATACATATCATGCTATCATAGTACAAGTACAAGTGGCCGGCACCTTGATCCGAGGCGCCTGTTCCACTACCCCAAACCCCATGTTACAAATTTCACCTCAAACGCCGCGATGCGATACAATGCAGTTCCGCAAACCAGTCGTGTCCTCAAACGTAGGACTTGTCTCCGAATGTGTTGAGACGCCCAAGACTGGCAAAAGCCTGCATCCATCGACTGTCATCATCGGTCGACCTGTTTCATCGGACTGACGAGTTCCTCTTCGGTTGTATCGACTCTTTTTGCACACGCCCTCTGCCTGTGCCGCTGAGTCTACCATTCAACCTTGCCTCCTCATCGAAGCTTGTTCGTTTGGTGTTTTGGCCACCCTCCAAATCATCGTCGCTGTCGGCCAAATCTCCAAGCTCGAACTGGTTCTCAACGTCGTAGTCATGCATCAGCGCGCTACGGTCGCCAGCGTCCGCATAACTAGGCCTGCCATCACGAACGACACCAATCGACTGTCGCTCAAACAGCTCTTCGCTGCGCCGCGCTTGCATACTGCGTCTTGTAGGGAAACCGGATATGGCGTCAGAAGGCGGGCCGTCGGTGAAACGCGAGCCGTATGCGTTGCTGCCGTTGGGGTCTTCGCGCGAAAGGTTCAATAGATATACGCCGGAGAAGATGATGAGAAAACCACAGAGGAGGGAAATGGTATTGACGGCAGACGTGGTGTTGAAGCCTTGGAAGAGGAGGCAGGACGCGATGAGGGTGCAAGTCGTGAACATGACGTAGTAGAGCGGGTTGACACTGTAGTGGTGCGTTAGCACTCGCTGGTGAAACTTGAGAATGCAGAACGTACATGTTCGTCGAGAACTGGCTCAAGGCCTTGTTGAAGTAGTTCATCTGTGTGAGAATGCATCCGACCACCAAGATTACGAAGACGTATGTGGAGGGGTGCGTGAACTGGTTGTTGCCCGCGAATGTCATCTTGAGGGCGATACCGAAGGCCTTGATGAACATGATGGAAACGGAGCCGGCGGTCGAGCAAATGGAGAGGTAAATGAGCGGGTTCTTGCGACCGTACTTGGGCGCAACACTGTAGATCATGAAGATGCAGAAAACGACGCAGAAAGCGCAGTAGAAGAGAAATCCTAAAAACGTTGTGTTAGTCTCTGTCGTAGCCTTGACGGCAGAAGCGCGCGTAAACGTACCTGGCTGAAGCGCAAGGTTCAAGATCTCCTCCACAGACTCAACCTCTTTGTCCGGCGGCGCATGTAGCACGATAATGACAGATCCGATGAGACATATCGCGCAGCCAATCTTGCCCAGAAGTCCTAATTGTTCGTCCAGGAAGTACGAGCCGAGTACCGCACCGATAAGAACTGAAAGGGCGCCGAGGGGAGTTACGAGGATGGCAGGCGCGAAGGCATATGCCGCGAAGTTGAAGATCTCGCCGAGTACCACTGTATGCTATCAGTCACGCACACGGCGTAGCATCGCGTGTGCACCCACTCGTCGTTATGCCGGCCCACCACACAGGGTTCTGTAGGTATCCAAAACCGTCGCCGTTGAAGCCCTGCTTCTCCATCGAGGCATTGAGGCCCTTCTTCGTAATGACAAAACTTGCGCCAATGGCTAGTGACGAGCTCACGGCCAGCATGAGTCCTACATATCTGTCCTTATCGTCAGTTCCTGGGGCTTCTCGTGCAGAATGGCGTGTCTTGGCGCAACGTACTTGTCTTCGACCATTTTGCCGGTTGTTGTAGGTCTATGCGACCTGTCTTGGTTATTTGCGGCCAGGTAATATCAATATCGACGTCGCTGTGAATGTGCGCAGGCGATAGCAACGGGCGTGGGTGGTGTGAAGCTAGTGCGCGGCGGTTGACGTTGGATTGCGTGGACTGGGGTTATCGATAGGCGCCTGTGTCGTGGCCTGCCGAAGAGGAAGGAGGGACGCCAGTGGAAGGAGCGATGATGCGCAAGCGCCGAGTTGACTGACTGAGCGACCGACTGCGACGGGCGATAGATATGATATGCAGGTGCGATGGCAGATGCAACGGAAGAGGTGGTGGGTTGGGGATGCTTGCGCAAGAAGCGATTCGCGTTTCACCAAACGCTGTTCCTGAGCCGAGCCAAGGATCAAGTGACTGCAACAAAGGTGGGCGAGACGTCTAGACGTGTCGAGGGAGCAAGCGAGCGCGGGGAATCTCGTGACCAAGGGCACGATCCAACGACAATGAACGAGAGTGAGAACGAGTGCAATGATTCAGGGCAGTGTTGTGATGATTGACCAAGATGCGTGCGCGTCTGTCTATCTATCGATAAACCGTTTCCCAACAAGGTGGCGTGTCATCGGTCTCGCCAGTGCCATGACCCCAAGGTTTCACGGCGGCTTGCGTCTTACGCAGGGGCTTCTTTTTTAGCTTCCCCTGTCCCCGTCCTCACGCCTCACCCACGCTAGAGTTAGAGCCTGCCGATCTCCTCGTCAGACAAAGACGCGGCATTCCATCCTGCAATATCTAGCCGCAAATATAGCTACAATTCTCCCTTGGCTTTGCGCGCCCTCATCTCTACAAGTGACATGTACCAGGAACAGCTGTGGGTGGAGTCAAATTGCCAATAGTGCCTTCTCCAGCTTGAGTGCTGCGCCTCGTGCTGATCTGTCTAGTTTCCTCAGGTGCAACCAAAATAGCATACCTCGTCATCGCTTCCCCACAACATGCGATCGAGAATGATTACTAGACGAGGTTGTGTCCCTAGGTGTTCTTTCTTTGCCGGAGTTTTCTTTGGGGTCATGACCGGATTTGAGCATGGACATGAGTGGAGAAGACGATGAACCTCTTGGAGTTGCCTACCCAGGTACTTTCCCGTTCTTGAGTCTAAAGGCGCTTGCTGAGATACAAACAGAATGCATATCCTTACACATTCGAATATGAGCTCATTGAACCCTGCCTTACTTCTTTATCATAATCAGCGCAGTCGCCAATAGGGCCGGACCCAATTTCTATTCTTTTGCAAAGATTAAGCCGTTGGTCAGCAAGTATCATATATCATGTTGTATTGATGTTCATGTTCAACTCGAAAAAATCCCAAAGTACCATTCAACATTGCTAAAGCTACGCTGTTTGCCTGATTGCTTGTCCCTTCTATCATTCCCCTCTTGTGTCGCAATTTAATCACGCTGGATTTCAGGTCGCCCAGGTTCTCATCCGGTCGAGGCATTCACCGTGCACAAACCTGCAGCTATAATTCCTGATCTAACCAGTACGCTGCGGGTCCTGCATGATCTCAGATCTCGGTCCGTCATTGCTGGCTAGCCATGCATCTAGCATCGAGCCACTCCCGAGGTTGCGAACCGCTTCTGCCGTGAGTTGGCCTGAGGCAGGCTGAGGCGCAGGCTGGCTAGCGACTGGCGGACCGGGTGCCAATGGCTGAGTTTGAGCGGTATGGAAGTACGGCATATCTGCTGAGGAAAGTGTTAGGAAAGGACGTATCCGTATGTCGCTTCACGTGAAGGTCGAGAAACATACCGAGAGCTACTGGGTCCTGTTGCAAAGCGGCAGTCTTGTGGTCTTGCGGAAGAGAGATGTCGGATGCTTGTGTTCTGAGGTTGTGTCGTGTCGGGCAAAGGTACTTTGTCGATATGGGTCTTCCATTGTCAAGAAAATGTCTGGTTTATATTCTCAACTTACTCCAATGCTTTCATACTTGGCCGGTTAGCCAAGCACTGAGCTGCCCGTTGGCCGGTCGAGTAGGTGTGTAAAGGCGCGTTGGCCGGTTAGCAAAGTAATGAGCTACTCGTTGGCCGGTCGAGTAGGTGTGTACAGGCGCGTTGGCCGGTTAGGTGAGTATGAGGAAGTATTCTGGCCGGTTACAGGGGTTGTAGACTCGGATTGGCTCCAGGTCACTTTGAATTACCAAGATTAGCTAGTCTACGGACACTAAAAGGCTTGTCATCGTTGTGAAGTGAGGCAACATCACTCTCAGTGCCGATGGTGGAGATGAGCCTCGCTACACGGATCATTCGTGCCATTTCTGCGGGAACATCATGCACTCCTGATTACCACATGGGTCCCTCACAAGGCTGCACATTGCATCGAAAATATACTCCTTCCGGCGTGTAACACGGCATCAAATACAGACTCGGCATTTAGTAAGCATCTACTGATACAATACGTACCGGCATACGTTCTGCTACGCTCCTGGATTACTCGCATTCAAGACATGTATCCAAAATGTGATCATGGTGATGCTGACGTTATTTGGTTCAGTGTGTCGGTTTTTCGGGTCGAATGAGATGTGAAAATGGACGAGATGTTGCTTTGCTAAACTTATAGTGCACGTTCATTATTCAAACTACAGTGTGTATACTTGCGGTTGTGCTGACGACCTCACAACTCATGAGTCCGATATTCACGAACACCAAGCCAAGCGTACACCGGTTTCTCATGTGCCTTATATCCCGGGACTTCGACATTTTCAACTTCCTTGAAGCCATGTTTGGCGAAGAAGATTTTACCCATGGGCGCACCAGCAACGCCTGTTTCCTCACCATCCATATCAGCCAGAGCTGCAAACCATTTGTTGATGTCAGTCGCATGTCCCTGACGCCAGTAAGCCGGATGAGTTGTCATCATGTCGATGACCATGCGATTTTTGAAGTGCCTGAAAAGAAGTCAAAATTGCACTGCGCGCAAAGTTGTAGTGCACGTACTGGAGCTCGCGAGGATGAATGGTGCCATCTAGCAACTTCACGCCTTCTTCATCCTTGTCACGGTTCTTCGGCTCTTCTTCATCCTTATCATGATCAGGAGCTACTACTGTCAATTCAGTTGTCCAGATTTTGAAGTGAGTTACTGACCTTCTGGCTGGAACTGTCCCTTGCGCTTTGAATCTGGTAGCAGGGAGAAGCTTGCGACTGCTACGATGACTCGATCTTTAGCAAGTGCGTCTCCGGGGATCTGGTCTTCGAAAGCTGGATATGCAGCCGCGAGTTCATCGTACACTTGGTCTTTCTCTGAGCGATTGAGCTGGTGTTCGGCTACGATCACAATCGAATCAGGGTTCTTGATCGCTTTTCGGAAAGAGTCGCGGTAACTGGCTAGCGTATCCTGCGGATATTTACGATAGTACGGCCGCTCGTACTGGAACCAGGAAGAATGGTAAAAAGCAGATGCCGCGACAACACCTATGCGTGGCAAGTCTGTCAATTTGGCCAAGCGTAGGGCGCCGAGTTCTGGTGCGGCAGGAAACATTGCAGATGATCGAACTTGCTAAGAGAGCGCTGGCAAATGGCGAGAGTTCAAGATATCTTTAGGTACGGTTGCCTACGCAAGTACCTTTATGTGCCTGAGGTGGTGCGCCAGGCTGCCAAGTGAATGCTGGCCGGTCAGCGAGGCTTCTCGTATGCCAGGGGTCCCCCGCAGCAGGATCACGGCTGCCAAGCCTTCACAGGCCGGTCAGCTCTATCGCCAGGCTGAGCCAACGGTCCTTCCAATCAGTAGGGAAAATGAGCGGGTACAAACCCGCTGGGTACCCGTCTACTGAGCTATGCATGCGATCTTTCGACGATGCCTCTTGCACGAGACAAGCAATCTGGGCCACGCGCTGAAGATAGCGACGAGTTGATCACGTCAGATCTAGCTGTAGCTAGCTTTCCACATACACCGATCGCGACACCCTTTCACTCCCAACTTAATCAATCAGGCCATATCTTCACTCAAGATGCATTCCCAAGTTACGGTTCTGTATCCCTGGGGCAAAGTGAGAGCGTCGGCTATAACCACGGCGGAGCCGCACCGTACCAAGATGGACCGTGGATGATGCACCAACCAGCCTCAACATGGCAGCAATCGCCCTCGATCGTGCCAAACAACATTCACGCGACTACCATCTATAGTCCATCTGTATTGTATCCCGAGCTTGCATCACAGGTACGTCGATATCTAGGCAACTTGTTGTTGATCCTAACAACCGGTCGAAAAGATTTGGTTGCTGACCCCTCGCGATCGCAGGTTGGCACAAATCAATGGATCGGCATCCAGCCAGTGTCCTACGGTCAGCCTTTCACAAGAAACTACGCTTCGAGTATTCCGGCCAGCCAGATCAACAGTACAGCGTCCTACGTTGCACCTGTCCTACAGCAGAATACGTGTCTGATCTCCAACGGTACTCTCGATCTTGAGCATACAGGTACTCATGCTTTGTACAGTGGACACAAAGACACGACCGACGCCAATATATATGGACCACTTTCCACTGGTGCACTCGACGATTTCAATTGCAGCGCAACGCAGTATGATCATTTTTGGCCATACGATCCCAATATTGGTCTCAGCACAATGCCACCCACGATGACGCCAACCCAATCGTTCTTCGATGCGCAAACCCAGCAGCTAAATCTGCGCAACGACGAGCAATCTTGGGCTCAACCTGCTCACGTTCTGGTGTCTCAGGGTGAGATAGAATCTAATGATAGCTCCGATTGGCTCACCGTAGGACAATACAACCATGAAGTTAGGCCTCGCTTCACACCTTCGAGTTCCGAAGACGCAACAGCGGATGTAAATCAGCTTTCAGAAGGGAGAGAATCTTCCTGGGAGGTTCTCAGCAGAGAACTGTCTACAAGGGAGTCATCGGGTGACGTGGTAGTGGTGCAGGGTGTTGGCCGTGATGAAGATGACATGGGACCGTTTCCCTCGCCACCTAGAGCCGATGATCTCGGACCCTCTTCGAATCGCCACAAGAAAAACACCAAAGACAAATCTGCGATCTTGAAGCCCAAGAGAACTGACCAACGCGTACGTGGGAAACTTACAGAACAAGAAAGGCGAGGAAGGAAGGAGATGCGCCAAACAGGAAGTTGCCTTCGGTGCAGGGTTTTCAATGAGAAAGTGAGTCACCCCGGGTCGCGAATCCTCGGGACTACACTAACACGAGTCCAGTGCAACACCGGTGACCCATGTGACCGATGCATCAAGGCGTTGAGCGAGCCTCGAAGCTACCACGATCCTTGCTACCGCGACAAGCTGGACAAGATAACAACGGCGAGACATGGTGAGTACACAGTTCACGTGGTGATGGTCGCGTCAAATTTCTGTACTCACACAGGTAGGGAACAATAATTTCGGCCAGAGGGAAGTTGAGTTTCTAAAATACAACTGGCATCCGGACGCAGACGTCAAGACGATCGACATCAAGTGGAGCTTGCCGGGAGGCAGATCGGTCGATCTACCTGGAATACGTCTTGACTGCAGACGATTTGTTCCACTCAACAACGACTCACATTACATCACCTGGCAAGTTAACGATGAGGTTGTCACTATTGAGCTCCCTCCATACTCTGGAGAGGACACGGCTGTGATCACGGCGAGCGTGCAACAATTTCTCAGAGGAGGAAACAAAGCCGTGCTCGATTACCTCATTCAAGATGTTGAAGGCAAAGGGGATACTTTTGGAGCTGTGAGCTTACGGGAAGCTATGAGATATGCTGACAAGAATCCAAATTCTACTGTCGACCTCGCGCTCCGCATCCGGTCCGCAGCGTATTGTTCGCAAGGTTGGGGAACTGTCTCAGGCTCCGAAACGCTTGGGATCGGTGAGTTTGACTTCAACGAGAAGGGACAATGTGGATATTCGGCCTACGATCGAGGCCAAGAGCGACCTCTACCACTGTCCATTGATCACCAAATCGACGTGGCCTTGTTGAAAACGATCCGGATCATGCAAGACCATCTCGTCAAGAAACTCGCCAAAATGATATTCCAGAAAAGTGGGAGGAAGCCCTGGTATGAGATCTTTTTGACGATGTACGTCCTTCTTTCAAATCTTGAGTACGTACATTTTGGGTCTCTTTCTTTCTTGCGCGCCCAGATGAAGACAGTAAGTTGAGGCATTGACTGATAGGAGCTGCAAGTGCTGACACCGACGTAGAAATCTGAGCAGTCGTGCGCATTTTTGACTCGGGAAATGGTTGCAGAATACAATTACTCTGCCGAGAACCTCTTGCATCACTTCCGAGCCATTCTCAGAGCTCAGTACGGATTCAAAGTCGCCCGAAAGAACTTGGCCGAGTTCGTTAAAGCCGAGAGCCTTGACGACGAATCAGCGCAATACATTCAGCGAGTTTTGGAGACGTTGGATGCTCGCAGTACGTATCAGAAAGTATCGGACTAAACGTATGCTTACTTCCCGCAGAACTTCAGCCGCGAGTATCGCCTCCCCCGGCTAGTGATGTTCTTGAGGAACCGCCGCCCGACGGACGTTGGCTGAACAAGCTGTTCGAGATTGCGAACACTGACAAATAGTATGAAGGATGCCTCCTTCTCACCGGATTGGACCTCGTTGAGATCGTGGCGCAAGTGAGTAGAGGTCTGGGCAGCCCGGTGCATTTCATGTGTTGTTCATATGCAGCCGTGTTGATCATCCAAGCATCGTTGCCGCCTGATGCGCGACGTATTACTTCTGTCGCTTAACCTTGTTATGTACTGAAGTCATTATATATTCCAACATTCCACTTACTGAGGTACATATGCGCCTCGTTTGGATGGGCGTTCTGGGCACAAGTCATGATCGCTTCACAGTGCTCCAATGGGTGGGCTCCAGATGCGATTATGCGACGTAATCTCGTCAAGGACGATGTCTTATCCATAACGCGAAAGCAACCTACATGCATGCAGTACCCTCACAGCCAATTGCGAGCCACTGTTGCAGTGACTCAGTCGTCGAGGAGGACCTCGCTAAGAAGGCAAAGGTAAGAAGGCAACGAGGGGTACAAAGGCAAGGCTGAGAAGGCAACGAGGGGTAACAACGCAAGAAGGCATCGGGTCGTCGCAGCCAGCCGCGAAACGCCCAAAACCAAAATACCACCTTGATGAGGGGCAGATTCACCGGAACAGCGCGTGCAGGTGGCGTCCCAAGATGACCTCTACATCCCACGCGGAGGTCCTTCGTCTTGCAACTATATTAGTCGGGTGATACGACGCTCGCACTACCAGCAATCGTATTACCGACCACCATTACTTCCAAGTCCTAATTGACGGTTTCGACATGGCAGCACTAGTAGCTCCACCACGTGGTGGTCTGGCTCTATCTGAGTCTACCACCAACCATTTCCTTGGCCAGAAGAACGGAGTGTCCGCCCAAAAGGTGTCAGAAGTCACTCAAGACCAAGAACCATCTGCATTGCGAAATTATCCAGCCAAGTACAAATCGCCACTGTGTTGGACGGCGGCCTCATTATCGAGATATGAGCATGTCCTCGTGCTTTCAAATCTGGAAATTGACTCGATCGAATCTGCCGTCTCACACTTCAAATGTTGGTCATGTTTCCGATCTTTTCTTGAGATAGCAGACCTGACATTCAATAGCTTTGGCACTTCCTGCGGCCCAAATCTCGGCCGAGAACTTCCCTCTCGCCTCCAGTCTGGTGGAACGATTGAGAGGCATCAGCGACACACTTCACAACGGAGTCGGCTTTTCTGTGATCAGAGGCTGGAATCCTGCTCATCGAACTGATGAAGACAACGTAATTGCGTTCGCCGGCATCGTGAGTCACATCGGTAGTGATCGATCCACCAACGACTATGGAATGTCCCTAGGTTTGTCAAACCCTGTGTGGCGTTTATCAGTCAGTCTCTAATGCCTCGATAGATCACCTTCGTGATGCTATTAAGGATGCGAAGCCTGAGGGTAAGGAGCATGCTGAACTCTCCCCAGCAAAGATGATGGCTCCATTGGTACGGTTTTGTCTTCCTATGAGCAGTCTCGGGCACTCATTGATCAAACTACAGAAATTCCATGCGGACCGTAATTTTGCGGACAACGTTGCCCTCTTCGTCAAGTCTCCCGCTGCTGTCGGTGGAAACCAGTATCTGTCGAGTTTCGGGAACGTGTTCAATGAACTGCGTGCCAACAATCCTGAAGCACTGGAGACGCTCGCGCGTGACTTTCCATGGCCAGGCGTTATGTATGTTTTGCGCGCACTCTTCTAGGTGTCGTCGTGTATTGACAGTGTTTTAGGAACGATGAACCGGTCACTACATACACGCCAGTCATGTTCGAGCAGATGGGTCGCATCTTTTGTCAGATCGTTTATCGCGTCTTCGAGAAAACCGCTATATTGAGCAAGGCGCAATGGAATGCACTAGACGCCATGGAGAAGGTGGCCAACGAACACTGCATCGAGTTGCATCCCAAACCTGGCGACATGCAGTTCTTCAACAACCTTGGTTTGCTCCATGCTCGTAGAGCGTGGATCGATCGACCGGGTAAGGAGAGACACTACTATCGAATAGGATTCCGTGACCCCGAGCTTGCCTGGGAGCGACCGTCTCAATACGCATGGCTCTTCAACGACCGTCTCGAAGTTCCAAAGTCAGATCAGACTATTCCGTTTACCGACTTTGATCCGTACGGTGCGACAGCTCTCGGTGGGGCCGGGCATGGATAGAGCCATTGCGAGTATTCATTGAAGTGGAGGCTCGTTTCCTTTGGTGCCGATGTGAAGGCGTTCACGATGTTATTTCCCTATTTTATTTGCAACGTGTTGCCCTCAATAGCGCAGAATAAGGCGCCGCCTGCTCGCAACGATCTGGTTTTGGGCGCATGAAGCAACGAAACATTACAGTATTTACGGCTTACGGTCTAGTTCTCTTAGTTACATACACGCACACATGTTTGAACAATTGCCTTAAGTTTCTTCAGGTGCAACCAAATAGCATACCTCGTAATCGCTTCCCCACAGCATACGATGGAGAATGATTACGTCGCTGCACTGATCGTGGTTCACGTAACAATTCACCACCGAGGTATGGCTAAGGATCATTCTGTGCATGTGACTTTTCGATTCAGGCACTCCAACTCAGAGTTGAAAGTGCCCAGAGTCCCTTCAGGGTATCCTGAACTTCGACTCAAAACGTCGGGTATATGGCTCGAGACACCTTAAGATTCCATCTTTCCACCACCAGATCCTCCACCGCCCCTGGACATATCATCCTGACCTCCGCATACTCCAAGAAATTGCGCAGAAGAAAGAAACATCGCCCAAATTGCAATCCCTGTAGTGGCAGGGCATAACGCAAAGAAAACGCGCAAGAAGATGCACTCTCTTACCTTTTGGTAACCATGTTCCTCCACAAGGTTTGGTATCCGGCGGCGCGCGCTGCATGGTCGGACCTGTTATTAGTATACATCATATTAGTTCAAGGGCGCACTGAGTTGAAGAAAGGGCGGAAATGAAGCTGCTTGTTAGTAGAGTCGAAAACCCGGTAGACTTTGAGGACGGTGGGCCTTCATACTCTGGGGCGCTTGGCGTCTGGTGCAAGATAGTCAGCGCATGAGTTTCGCTTATGTATAAAGATCGTGAGCTTACCTATAGAGTCAGATGCAATATCCGCTCCATGTCCAGCCTCGTCGATGGATCGCTTTTGTCCTTGTGGGGACACATCATTGGCATCGTTAGACGAGGCCGTTGTAGGATCTGCAGCCGAAGACGTTGCGTTCGCAGTCTGTCCAGCCACACCGTCCTCTCCGTCTTGGGCGTCGGTGTGATCATGTGCAATGGCCGGCATCTCTGAACCCTCTTGAGCAAGAACCGGGTCGGCGTCCCACTCAGGATTGTTTTCCAGGTCCAGGAAGTCGTCCGTACCGTTCACATCGTTGCCATCCGTCATATCGGCGCCAGCAACGTTGAACTCGTCTCCATTCATAAAGTCCAGATCTGGCTGTTCGTCCAGGTCCTGGTATTCTTGGGTGGCGAAGTCTTGGTTAGTGTCGCCGTCGTATGCGTCTGCACCATAGTCATCTGTTCCATCCGCTTGAAAGTCCTGGAAGGGGTCCTCTTCGTCGAAAGCTTGCACAAAGTCCTGGTAAGACTGCCCATTGTCGTCGTTGCCTTCGGTCTGATCATGTACTGCTTCGCCATGAGCGTCTTCGCCAGCTTCCTCAGCGTTCTCGGCGGCATTCTCATTGTGGCTGGATGAGCCTACGATGAAGTCATGTCCATCTGCGTTGGCAGATTCATCGCCTTGGAGCGTCGCGGACGAGGGTGACGGCTCATTAGCGGAAGCATCTTCGGGTCCCTTGACATCCACGGCCGGTTCGTCTTCTTCGTCACTGTAGTCAATCAAGTCATCTTGCTCCTGCAAGCGAAGGGCTTCCGATTCGGCGTCGGTCTTCTGGCTCGGTCTGGGACTCTCGTGCTGAGGTTGCTCTACAACTTCCTGGGGGTTTGTGGATACGTCACTAGGATTAGCAGCTTGAACACTGTGGCTTTCTTCAGGGGCCGGTGCTTGCTCCTCTTCTGGCAAATGGGCAACCTCAATCTCCTCGCGCTCTGGATCCTCCGCATCATCCCCCTCTTGAGCATTTTGCTCAGTGGGTTCTTCGTTTTGATCGAGCTCATTGTAAGAAGCATGGTCGACCGATGTGTGCTCCACCTCATGCACATCCACTCCCTCGCCGCTATGGGCCTCTTGCTCATCTTCTGCTTCGTCATCATGCTCGCCGTCGTGGGCCTCTTGTTCATCTTCCCCTTCGTTGTGGTCACCCTTGCCGTCATGTTCTGATGCCTGTGCTTCAGCATTCGCAGACTCCGGCTCCTCAACATGATCTCCTGCTTCTTCTCGCTGCTCACCGTACGCTTGATCCTGCTCCTGGGTGTCCCACTCAGTGGGCTCATCACTTGAAGCCCCAGCAATCATGCCAGCGAAATGAGTCTCACCAGCGACAACGGCAGCCTCAAAAGCAGAATAGCCGCTTCCTTGGTCGGCAAATTTCGCGATGTCTGAGAGCAGAGTGGCGAAGCGCGGTCGAAGCATCAAAGAGATATAAAAGGAGTCTGGGTTGTTGTTGCCATCTTGTGCATGGAGCGAACGGTAGTATCCCACGAGACGCTCAAGCGAAACAGCTACACATGCCGTGTTGTCTTCGAAGATTTCCAGATTCTGCAAGTGCTCAAATTTGAAGCCGATCTCTGTCTCGTTTGACACATCCTCACACAGGGACATACGGCATGCTTGAAAGAGGTCTGACAAACTAGCCTTCGCAAGCGAGATGTCCTGAATGAGCCAGTCACCACTGTTGTCGTAGTCATGCTGCTTGAAAAGCCAATACTCTTCGCCATGGAGGTTCACGGTGACAGATGGGAATCCAGATGAGTCACTGTCATGATCCTCGCTGTCATCAGCAGTAGCTTCTTGTTCATAGCCGTGGTGTGTCGAGTCTTGATCTTGGGTTTCACCATCTGCATGTTGTTCCTGGCCTGGCAACATGACACCGCCGTCACCATCATCATTCTGACTGTCTTCTTCGTTGTCGTCGACCGATTGCGAGTGGGGTGAGGGTGCGGCTTCATGCGCCGCTGCGCGCGTCGGGCTATCATCAACTACGGTCTGGGGCTCTCGGTGCGGGCTGGGCGACTTGTTATCTGCAGACATGGGAAGTAGAGCTTGCAAATCAGCGGGTATCTCATCCTGCTGTTCAGTCATCTCCTTAGGCATATCGTCATGTACCGCCTGCGCGTCCGAGTAGTAGCTTGCGTAGCTTTCGGTTCGTAGCCATGGTGAACGTAGCTCGGGGTTGTGGTAATCATCGCCTTCCTCTTCGGAATAGTCAATCAGGTCGTCGTCTTGATGCGATGTATTGGTCTGGATCGGGGGAAGATTGACTGCGGCAGGCTGTGGTGACTGTGTAGGCTGTGCGGACTGATCAGGCTGTGCGACAGGCTGGTCAACGAGTGTGACGCCTTGATCTTCTTGGAAGCTATAGTCCTCCTCGATCACGTCCTCTTGGTCGACCATGAAATCGTCCTGCTCGCCAGGCACGGTCTGAGCATCCACGTCGTTAACCGAGGCTGCATCGTTCATGGACATCTCTTCGTCCTGGGGCTGGGGAGGCGGGGGGTCGAGATCTAAGTCGATGTCACCATCGTCGAAGTCGATGCCGCCATCGTCGGAATGCAGATCCATGTTGTCGTCGTCGGCAGTTGAGAATTCAAAACCTGGTATTGTGTGTGCTGCGGCAGCCATGGTATGCGATCAAGGGTGCAAGTGAGGCGTTTGCAGGCGTTGGTTTGTCGGTCGAAACGCGTAGAATAAAAGGAGTGTGGGAAGCGCGTCACAGCTAGGTGCGAGTCACTACGTGGGTGGCGATACAGCAAACCGGGGTTTGTGGTGATTGCGCAGCGTCGCTCTGAGGCTAGAAGGGCATGGCGATAGTTTCGCACGGGATTTACGATGGTGAGAGCCTGTACGCGGTGAGGATGAGGAGGCTTGTCTGGAAATTGGACAAAGGAAGCACGGTGGTGTTCGCGCTAAGATGGGAAAGTGCTTTGGCGCAAGCGGGCAGGTGGCAGGTGCTAACGTGGTTTCACTTACACTTGACGCGGATGCACTGTATAGTCTTTGAATGTTGCTGCTCGCGACGGCGCAACAAATATCTCGTGCAAAAAAGCGGGAGAAGTAGTCAAGTTGCAGCTTGCAGGTGTTGTCAAACCGGCCAGCGGAGGGGAAGCTGCGTCAGTGAGGATTTGCCGCTAGGCAGACGGAAGCTGCACGTGACTACAGGTGTCCACTTTGGAACCTCCAGGTGTTGCGACTGGTGCAGTTGGGCTGGCTCAGTGACCTGTCCAGCTCGCGTCCTGATTTTGATACAATCGTGTCGTGTTCTTGTCTCTTCGTACTGAACACGTCTTCTCACTCTCCGTAAACACAAAAGGCGGAATTGTGTTCCTTAGCAACTTCCTGACGGACAATATTCCCCTCCACATTCGACAACGCGGCCTCAAGTCTAGGGACATTGTACACGAAGCCACCACACCCCAAACAGCGCCGTATACCCCTGTGACCCCTACAAACTCTAGACACGATGGTATGAGACTACACAGAAGACAATTGGGTACGCCTCCCTCCACAACACCAAGCTGACGAAGCCAGGTGGTCCTCGCAGCTTCGATATGCACCCGAGGCGGCAAGGCAGTCGTCTCCCGCCAATTCCGCGAGATGCAGCGCTCCCGTATTGAAGCCCTCCTCGCATCCTTCCCCAAGCTCGCCGATAGCGGAACCCAGCACACGACCTGCGAACAGGACAACGTGCGCTACGTATACCAACCCCTCGACGAACTCTACATGGTTCTGATCACCAACCTACAATCCAACATTCTGCAAGACATCAACTCGCTGCACCTGTTCGCTCAGGTTGTCTCCTCGATATGCAAATCCCTCGACGAACGCGAGATCCAGAAGAATGCCTTTGAGCTTCTCACTGCCTTCGACGAGATCGTCACATTGGGTTACAGGGAGAACCTGACCATGAGCCAGATCAAGACATTCTTGGACATGGAATCGCACGAGGAGCGCATTCAGGAAATCATCGCACGGAATAAGGAGCTCGAGGCGTCAGAAGAGCGCAAGCGCCGGGCCAAGCAGCTCGAGATGCAAAGGAAGGAGATGTCAAGATCCCAGCGAGCAGGTGGAGGCATGGGAGGCGGCATGGGCAGCGGAATGGGCGGTGGCATGGGTGGTCGTTCACCTTCATATCCCGCCTTCACACCCAGCGTGCCTACGACCAACGTCACCGACACGTACGACAGCTACGAAGCCGAAAAGAAGAAGGCTACCAGCAAGCCATTGGCTCTGGGCAAGAAGGGCATGCAGCTCGGCAAGAAGAACAAGACCAACAACATGTACGAGCAAGTCACTGGCGAACAGGCGCCAGCAGAGGAGGAACCGCTCGTCGCACCCAAGCCGTCTGCTCCCGCTGCGGTCGCTCCAGCAAGCGCACGCCAATCCACCTCGACCGATCGCGAAGCCGTACACATAACGACCAACGAAACCATCTCCGCCCGCCTAGATCGTGAGGGTCTTCTCAAGTCCTTCGAAGTCAAGGGCGAGATGCAACTCAAGATTACCGACCCCTCCCTCACGCAAGTCAAGCTCGACCTTGCCACCGGTGACACTCGCGGCGCACAGCTGATGACACATCCCAAGGTTGACAAGGCGGTCTTCAGGAATGATAAGGTCCTCCAGTTGGCCGACACAAGCAAGGGCTTCCCTTCCAACATGGGCATAGGAGTCATGAAATGGAAGCTGGCACCGCGGCCTGACGACATTTCTGACCCACCCATCACCTTCCGCGTATGGGTCGAGGACTCAGGCAACATGTACAACATCACTGTGGAGTACGAGCTCACCGGCGGTGACTCATTGAAGGATGTCACCGTCACTATCCCATACCAGACCGACGAGCCCAACGTTTCGAGTTTCGACGCCGTATACGAGGTCAGCGGTGACAGCATCGAGTGGAACATTGGTGCCGTGGACGATGCGAACAGCTCCGGTAGCTTCGAATTCGAGGCCCAGGCTGGCAGTGATTCTGAATTCTTCCCAATGAACGTCCGATTCAGCAAGGCCACACCATTCGTGGACGTCGATGTAAGTCGTCTTTCTCTATTGACTACGAATTCCAAGCTAATAGATGCAACAGGTTTCCTCTGTAACCCTCCTTTCCATGGGACAGGAGATCAACTTCTCCAAGGACGTCAAGTCTGTTGCTGAGAACTACACAATCTCATAGAAGTCGGAATTATACGGTGAGGGTGGTAGAGTTGGACGACCAAAGAGCTAGTCGGAATGTCATATCGATAGCTCTCTGCCCAGGACATTACTCTTCAGCTAGATGAAATGGAATGAGAAGACTTACACGGATCACCGCGCTTTATGTGACCTTTTTTCGCATTTCGCCCAACCACCGAACCAACCCCTGAACATTGAAGCTTCTCCGTCAAGAAAGAGAAGTCTCTGAAATCATCAACACACAAGGAAGAAAGAACCATCATTGTCAGATATCTTGTTTCATTCTCAACACCTCACGATGCTACTATCTACTCTCTCAAAACATCATTCTGTATCTATCTGTTCATGCTGTCTTCATGTCTCCTCCCAACCTCGCACAAACGTATGTATACGTGTGCATGGTATATCATTGATTCAAGTAAGCCTCCCCTGCAATGCGCTGCTAAGTCGCTAGATAATCGCGTCGATGGTATCTGAAAAAGTAGGGAAAAAAACAAAACAAAAGCCGAATGCTGTACATGGAAAAAGCGTATCTGGAAAAGGCGAAGACGCAGAGATCTATTCGGCCGTAAAAGAAGCTGGAAAAGGCGGACATGTCGCGAGAAGATATGCGAAAAGTAAATATCGCCGGCGTGGTACGCTGTGCATCGATGCTCGTAGCCATGAGCGAAATTGGGGTACATCTCAGATAACAGCATCGCCAAGAAAGGCAAAATCTTCCATAAGCGCATGCACACCACTCATCGAACTCTCCCTCTGCACACTAATCGTACGCTGCAAGCGCTCCGTCTCCGCAACGACCGTCTCCTCCGCAAGCGTAGTCTTACTCCCGACATCATGCTCGGGCAGACTATACTGGAAGCCAAGTCCAAAGCAAGCTGCTTGGCGCCTCGACGAGCGCCGCGACGACGCGTCAGAGTGCTGCGTCTCGACTTTGAAGAGGTCGGAGCCGAAGGTTGAGATGCGGAGTTCGTTGAGTTGGGGTGGGGTGGAGAGGCGGTAGGGGGATTGGACATCTTCTTCTGACTCTTCTTCTTCTTCGTTGTCGGTGGTGTCGGTGGAGATGGTTTGGATTTCAGGGACCGTGGAGACGTGTTTTGGGGAGGTGGCTTGCCGGGGTGAGGCGTATGAGTAGTGGATTAGTAGGCCTTGGGGTGTGTCGATGTCGCTGTCGTTGCTGGTGAGGGAGCTGAAGGTGGGGGAGAGGACGGCGTCGTCGTTGTTGTCTGAGATGGGTGAGTTGTAGCCGATGGAGTCGTTGCTCCAGGTGGAGAAGTGGCTGCGTGCTTTTTCTTGGAAAGACACGCTGAAGTTGTCGAGACGCTCGTCGTCTTCGTCTTCTTCGAACTCGTTTTCTGGCTCGCTGGCTGGTAGTTCGCTGATTGTGGCTTCGTTGCATGCGTAGAGTGGTGCAGGTATCAGGTAGCGAGGAAGGGCTGGAAGTTCTTTGTCCAGTGGTGACTGTCGGAGATTTGTGCTTTGATTGCCACCGTGGCTTGAGGTGGGTCGCTCATTCGACATAGGAGCACCGAGGAAGGTCGACGGCCGTGAGAGTACGGGCGCAGATGGGGTGTCATCCTCCACCACACGATCCTCCACTTCGAAGTCTTGTTGAAGCTTAGGAGAAGAAAGCCAAGGATCATTAGAGAACAGGTAATGCTGAGTTCGTCTTGTGTCGCTAGAGTTGGCACGAAGGCGACTTTGCTCGACCTTGAACTCGCTTGTGATCACAGTTGAGGGAACGTGTGAGCGGCGACGCCTGGTAGGGCGCTCATCAGGAGTGGGCAGCTCTGCAGGTCCAAACAATGAGTCGTGGACGGGATCAACAGGATGCGATGCCAGCGGAGAGAACTCCCTTCGGATGTTCGGTACTGCGCGCGACGTTGTTGTGGTGGGTATTTCCACCTCTCTGATAGACTCGATTGAGGGTCGGTACACAGACAACGGAATGAGGTTGAGCTCCTCTCCTCCACTGACAAGCACTGGCGCACTGATGTCTAGCTCTCTGGTCTTTGATCCGCTGCGATTCCTCGAAGCTGATCGTTTCGATGCCAACTTCTCTTTCAGAACCTTGAAGTCCGGGAATATGGGAGTAGACGGCATGTAGGGAGATGCTGATGCGCTTCGGGCATGACGCACTACATGTGGAGACAGTAAGCCTTCTGTGGGTGGATGCGTCGCCGACTTTGGGGTCCAAGGCGAAGGTAGAGGCAAGGTGTAAGCCTCATTACTGCTACCTGATCTCGGAGGCAGTCCAGGCCTTAGGCTCGCCGGTGGTACTGGAGTCAGATACCTATCTTTGGGGTCGCGTGTGAAAGCGGAAGAGGTATCTGAGATGCTGCGGCTGTGTCCCCCTTCGCGGGGCACATCCAAGACATTAAGGCGCTGCCCTGGCAGAAGAGGACAAAATGTCGTCGACTCCTCGGAAGGATTGTGGCATTCGTCATCCTCATCGACCTTGTACTGTATACTGTCAGTAAGTAATTTCATCCTGCAGTGTAGCTAACTTACGTAGTACCAGTAAGTCCCACCCATCTTGAGAAGTCCGTCCCGCTTGGGTGTTTGTTGGTCTAGATCTCCGTCGCAAATGATATCGGAAAAGGTAAAACAGCCTTTCCAGATATTTCGGCCCCCGCGTACGTCGAGTTCTAGTGGATAGGGTCGCGAAAAGTTGTCCCAAGATCCAAGTAAGACGACACTGCGCAGTGCAGCCGGGCAGTGACTTGATGCAAGAATAAGTGACTGCCTTAGAGTGAGGCACAGAGGGGGTAGACATACAACAGAAAAGTGTGGAGCGTAGTGTTGTCCATGGCCATTATGTCGGGTTAACCTAAGCTGATAACAGCAAGGACTACCGGCGTTGAAGCGCGTATGCGTCTAAGCCCTGGCCACCTCTGATGTGTCGCATAGAATCGTGGGTGTCAATTATAGAAGTGCATGCAGGTCGGTGAGTTGGATGTTTTAGCCTGCTCCTTCTGTATGGTCGCGTCGGCGAAAAGTCCAGCCAGCAGGTGAATGATTGGTGCGCAATAGCAAGCGTTTGGAGAAAATGCTGAAACTGGCCTACTGCGCGTATGTATGATTATGGCGAGGTTGACTAGGGACGTCGCAGTCCGAGGAATCAGATCAACTCGGAGAATTTGTGAAGCAAACAGAGGCCGGTTGTTTTATGCAGCTCGTCACCGGCAGACAGTAAATGTTGGAGTGTGGGGACAGAGCCTCAGTCGCGGTGGTTCAAGATTGGTCGGATTGGCGCCTGTGGATGGTGTTGGTGTGTAGCGTGGAGGATGCAGCCTCAGCGCTTAGCATAGACGTTCAAATCGCTGAAATGTCGTTTAGGTGAAACACGGTATCAGGAGGGGTCCAAAAGCGAGTGAATGCTGTGTAATTTGGCGTATGAGAAGAGAAGAGACAAAAAGATGGGTCGCAAGTCAAAGATGTAGTTCGGTACTAGTCGGGCAGGAACCAAGCGGATGACAGCCACTGGCGCTTTCTTGCTGTGATAGGGAAAGAGTAATCGTGAGGGAAGAATCGGAGATGCAGCTGAAGAGTTGATCCCAAACACGCCAAATGCGAGGCGCATTATTGGGCTTATGTCATGGGCTTCATTGGCCGCCAACGCTGGCCGAAGAGGAGACACTTCAGCTCCTTCATTTCCTCAGCCGTCCAGTCCATCTGCGAAGATTTGGAGGGAGCTGGGGACCGTTGCAAAGTAAGGGACCGAACCGCTAGTTGCTGTTCTCCTCACTTGACAAGACCGGTTGACCAGCATCATGCCGCGCTGCAGTTTCGTAAAGGGACCGGATCTCGACATCGTGGGTTCAGGATATCGGCATCTCGTTTTCGGGAGCAGGAAGCAGATCGCACGGCAGCTCCAGTTCCCCTGTCGCAAGCAGCCAACGGCATGCCAGACACGACTCGATTGAGCGCGCGGTTACTGCTGCGACCGCCACACGGCCGCTTAATTCGCGGGCCCCTGACACGATCGTCGGAGAAGATGAAGCGACCCACTCACAGCCCTGCCATCTTCCACGAGGGCTTCCGCGCTAGATTCCTTCAGCTTCCTTGGTGCATGCAGTCGTTCGAGCATGGCGCATAACCAGGTGCTGCATGGTTTGTCGTTGCTATGGGAGTTCGTCGTCTGGATCCTTCTTCGTACCTTACAACAGGTATTCGGTGCGCGAGAGAGCGGGGGAACCACCTGAGCACCTGAGCACCTGCCATCGCGACAAAACCAGATTTTAGTGCGACCCACTGGGCACCGAACTCTTCGAACCAAGTTTTCGCAGAGAGCGTCACAATTCCGACACAGCTCCTAGCGCCGGTTGCGGCACAGCCTTGCAGATAGAAGTGGAGGCCATCGCCAACCACGACCGTCGGAGAGGTGCTGCATGCTTTGGAAACCCCGGGGCTGGTTCCTAGCGGCATCGGTTGCACCGCGATGACGGCGGATGAGCTATCAGTTAGCGATATACAGCAAGCGAGCGCATGTTGTTTTCTTTGCCGCAGCGTATACAGGTTTCAAAGAAGGGTTATGCAGTCATAAAAGATTTTGCTTATTCTATCGCAAAGGGTTGGTGGCTGAAGGCGGCGTGTCCAGGCGCCGGCATGCAGGGCAAAGTTTGAGCAGGAACCAGCAACGTGATACGGCAGTGATGACTAGCATTGCATGTGAGATATTTGACAGGCTTTCAAAGCTTTGCACTCCCCAGCGCATGCATGGTGCATGTATGTCCAGCATCTAGTCCTTCCGTCAAATCCTCCTCCAAAGCCTACTGAAAACTGGTTTCAAGAATCTCTGGCTTGCGCTCCTCCAAGTCCAGAATCATCTGTCCGAAAAGCCCATTCGCCCACGAGAACCACTGCCTCGTCCAGTCACTCTCGTTGAAGCTGTTGATACTCTCGTGAATCAACCCCAAGCCATCTGTACTGCTCACGATCTGGGCTAGCTCATTCACGATCTCGGCCTCATCGTCACTCGTGAAGATGCGAACAATGGAAGCCATCGGCCAGGCCATGCCCGGTCCCTGGTGCGGCCCACCAATGGCGTTGATCACGGGACCTCTCATAAAGTAAGGGTTCATGGAGCTGAGCACGAGATCGCGCGTATTCGCATACGTCTCCTCGTTGACTGGGTACTTGAAGAACGGCGCTGAGAGGAGACCCGGAATGTTGGCGTCGTCCATGATGTTGCGCCCGCCGAAGCCATCGACCTCGAATGCATAGATCTTGCCGTATACCGCGTGGTCGACGGTTCCGTGCGTCTCAATAGCGTTGCGCACCGATTCTGAGAGCCCGGACATTCTCTTCGAAAGTGCTGCAGAGTTTGTGTTATTAAGTTTGCCCATAATCTCAGCCGTGGGAGCAAGGTATGAGCTAAACATCATGTTGGCTGGGATGTAGAGCTGGTAAATGGTGGCATCGTCGCTCGGTCGGAACGCGCTCCGGATCAAGCCAGTGCCGTTGGCAACGGGATTGCCGATTCCGTCGTTTGAAAGAGTTTCGGTCGCTCGGGTGGTGGTTCGCTCCCATGTGTATGGACTCTGCAAGACTGCTCCGTCTGGGCCATAGGTAGGAAGCATCATGTCCTCGGCTACATCCAGTACCGCTTCGACAGCTTTCACCCACTGGAACTTGCCAAAGAAATCGACGTCGCCAGTAGCCTCATAGTAATCGGCAGATATCTGTAGAAACGCTGCAAGCGAGTCGAGCTCATATTTGCATTCGAATACTGTACTGTTGTCAATCTTGGGAAAGACGATATCTTCGTTGGCAGAGTCGTTTTCTGCCGGAGGAACACCGCTCTCGGGAGGCGGTTGGAAAGAGTTGCAATACGGCGCTGCAAGTAGGTATCGCGCCTGAAGGTTGATGACTCCCCGGTACAAGCTGGCGATTGAGTTGGGATCGGTGCTGGCGTTCAACAGCGGTAGGTAGCTTTGTAATTGATTCGACGAGTCGCGTAGCCACATCGCGTTGATGTCTCCAGTGATAATGAACGTCAGCTCCTCCTCTGTGTTATTGGCAGCGTAGCCCTTCCATTTGATCGCCGTATCGAGCGTGTTGGGATAGGCGTTCTGGAAGAGGCGGTACAGATCCGGATCCTTGATTACATTTTCCATGCGCGCAACAGTATCCTCTAGGCCTTGCGATTTGAAGGTTCGACATTCTTCGGACGGTCGTTGGTAGGCGAGCTGGTTTTTGCCGGAACTCAGAGGTTCATGAACCTCCAACGCGTAGTCCACGTATTCTGGACATTGCGCTGAGATGAGTAACGGTATGTTTGAGAGCGCGCCGAGAACCATGAGGTTGCGCATCTTGTCGGATGATAGCAAGGCAGTCTTGAGGAGCCAGAGAGAGGTACCGAAGACAATGGACAGCGAGGACCGCTCTAGAGTATATGTTCGGGGCTATGACGGCACACATGGATCGTCATGGTCACCGACTGTCTTTGCTCCATTCGCTGCCTGTTCCTCCGAATTGGAGGTACCCCGCTTATGGATCTGGTGAGCATCGACGGCTTGGCAACGGATGCAACATTCACTGAAGCTATTCGATGGACCCATGAGGTCGAAAGCACGGCGACGTCATTTAGCTCGTGAGCCGGGCCGAACGGTCAGCGGACTGGAAATTGGTATTCAGAAGAAGAAGGTAGTATGAGAGCTCACGGATGAGACTCCATGTACGTTGTTTGTCGTCTGACTCCAACGCGTAAAGTGCCGGCAATTTGCGAGGTCATAGCTGGGGTGCATGGAGGTTTGACGATCTGCGGGGTGGCTGGCGCACCAACACCTGCAACGAAGACAACTAATTTCGCAACACGTATCTGAGTTTGACAGAAGAGCGATGCTCGAATAAACTTTTTGGAGTATTTGGAAATGGTAAATGACTTGCTTTTCACAGCGTAGACACAGGAAGCCTTCCAAAGTTGAGTGAGAGCGGTCTGTGCCTATATGCCACAACAGGCTAGCGCGCCTACCCCAAGGAAGTGGACCGAAAGAACGCTGAGCTTTCAACGCTCTATCACTAGCCTCGTAAAACCTCGCGCTTCCCCATATTTCCTCCATCACGGTCTCCGCCTGGTACTCGAAACTTACACGAACTTCACCTGAACTCTAGAAACGGACGTGATGAATGGCGATAAATGCAAACCAAAGTACAGCGCACCCTCTCCAGGGCTACACTTGCCGCCTTCTTCCAATGACGATAGCATGTATTTGCCCAAGTCTTGCTCATCTCGAGACGCCATGGTAAGCTGACAGCCGCAATTGATAAGCGTAATACCAGCCGGATAGTAGAGACTAGAGAACTTGATGCCATACGAAGCTTCTGTATTTTTGATACAGCTGCGAGAATTCCTTCTTTGATGAGCGGTCCAGAAAAGTACCGTTCTTCACCTAATTGTCTAATCGACTAGCATGACTCAGGCGTTATCCAGCGAGCTCTAGTTCCAGTGTACCTGTATGGAATAATGCTCCACTTCAAATGTAGAGTAATCATCTTCGTCCCGTTGTGAGTTCATCCGTAGAGCGGAACCTTGCGGCCTGTGGTCAAACAGCTGATAGCTCATCGCTGCTCCAGGCACGGAACGGCTCATGAGGAATACAATCCAGACCTATACCAGCGTACGATTAAACTTTCGGACCCTGCGCATATCACTAAACGACTGCAAGACTCAGATGTGGCTGTACCCAGCTTCGTGGGTATCTCTCGGCCGATTCGGAAAACGGAATCTTGGTCGTCCGAAGAGGCTCCAGTGGCCCAATCCGTCTTTCGTGCTGACATCTGAGTCGTGTCCATGCTCGGGAAACATGGTAAGAAAGCACGGATACCCCTTGCACGGCTTGCGATGTCGTCTGTCAAAGTCACCAGGGTGTTGCGGTTTGGTACCAGTTCACGCTCATGGCAACGACCGCATGCGTGATAGAGTGAAGAACTTGCATTGCATTGTTCGGAACACTATATCAGTCAAGAGGTATAAAACCCTTGGAAACTCCAATTTATCCTTATGGAAACCATGCCCCGGAACCCCGCCCCAGAACTATCTGTCCGTCTCGGACCACCCCGCTTCCCCGGTTGTTGACAGTATTCTCATCGTGAGGTAAAGATTTTCCCCTGTCGATCAGTGGCTTCACAGCCACTTCTCCTCGATCGTGAAGTATCTGGAGGAGGAAGGCTTCGACGAGTGGGGTCCGTCAGGCCGGGAGTGGTGGTTGATCCGTCGAACGCTTGTTATCACCCAAACAAAATTCCGAACATCTCTTATGAGGTCTAATCCAATACAATTGCAAAAGTAGTGCCTCTCGGTCGTTTCGTAGTGTCGCGTCGCTGTTTATCCTGTTGTAGGGCCTCGCGCCCTCTCACGCCGCATGTGTTGCAGTCTTTTTCGGCATCCACCTCGACGAGGCTGGAGGGTGCTCGGTTTCTCATCCGTACGTAGTGTTGCTACCGCTTGTTCAAGTCAGCTTGAGGCTACATTCACAGGTGAAGCGACGTCATCTTACCTTGGACTCATCGGTGCGTGACCCAGGTTGGACTGATAGTAGGGCTTTGGCATACCCAGCTGAGGTAGCTTGCGCCAACTTCGTTCCCGCACTTCTCTCATATAGGAGTCTTGCTCTGGGCTTCTGTGGAAACGCCTTGAGTCATCTTCAGGCTCTCCGCCGTAGAACCGGTAGACAGCGAAACCGCAGCAGACGAGCGCGCCTGCTCCGAGGATAACGAGGAATATGATGAGGGCTGGGGCGATGTCGAAGCCCATGTTGTTTCTTTTTTGAAGATACATTGTGACTGCGGAAGAATGGGTATATGCTGTGATGCAGAATCTCGTGCGACGGGAGCGGGTGATATAGGGATGGAGTAGTGTTTGCTGTAGTGACACGCTCACGATCAACAAAGGTAAGGCAGAGAGTGAGCCTAATGCGCGGAGGTTCCGGAAGCTGCAGGAGTGACAAGAAAAAGACCGAGGGGATGGTCAGCGTTGCGCTGACGACGACGAAATAGTATGGTGTGATGCGGCAACGTCCCACAGACACCGAGTTGCGAGACCCTGCGTGCCACAATCACTTACCTATATACCGTTACAGCTATCGCTTCGGGAACCGCAAGGTCTTCCAGATCGTGCGTCTGATGCGAACCAAAGACCCAATCGGTTGCTAGGAGGATGCGACCCTTTCACCATGCTATTGGCTGCGTCACATATTCACGTGCCTGGGCAGCCAGTAAAGCTGCGTTACCCCACCTATCGACCACGTCTAAGACCAGTTGGCACTCGGAAACGCGTAACACCCCAGCTTCGTCTGCTGCGTAGACACGCGTGGAAGTGTGGTTTCCGGACTGCCCGGGGAGGCTATGTTGGCTGGAAGGTTTCGGACCTGAACTTGGCCCGACTCTTGGAGCCTCTGGTTTCCTTAGCTTTGTATACTGCGATATGTCCTCCTTTTTCTTCTGCCTCTGGGCGCAATTTTGATGCGAATATTTCTGTCTTTTGGGGCTGTGAAGGTGAATGTTCGCTGGGGACGCCTGTGGTGGTACGGTCTTACTTAGCCTTGGTGACGCGTCATCCGCACCTTCCAGGCATGCCGAGCGTCAGATTCCCCACCTCCTCAGGCCAACAGCGAGAGCATCAGCTTTCTTATATGAAGATGCGACACTCAGTGACGCAAACTTTGTTCCTGGACGATGCGCATCGTTCGCCGATCGTGAGGCACGTCAGAGCGACAAATTTAGCATAACAGCGATGACGTCGCACCGTCCCGCGCGCTCGCCCTGACGATCCCTCGAGCCCAAGCTTCTTACACCTTCGACGTCCTTCTTCTGGTCCTCCTCTTTGACACTCTGGTTGTTGAGATGAGATTTTACTGATTCCCATGGTTGCGATACACTGAAGTCAATGCTTACATTCGACACGTGATCCTCTTTGACACAGATGCGCATCCTTCAGTAGCAACACATGATGGTACTCAGATATGCGCTCCAGCAAGGGCCGGCGTGGTCGGCGCGCGACGGACGCAATGGTTTCAAAGACCCCAAGCGCCAGTCGCGCCGGCGACGTCCATCCTACCTGACGCAGCAAGAGAATGTTAATGGGATCTCTTATCGAGAGAGATTGTCGATGCTACCTTCCTTCTGTCGAGTCTCCAGGGTAATCTGTTATGGCCGGACACACACCGAGCGACGAGATTCTGGACCTGGAATTGGTAATGGACATTTACACCAACAGGCCCTCCACGAATCCAGATCAGGGCATCTCGGAATTAGCAATCAGCGTATCCAGTCTTCGAAAAGACATCAAGAGACGGAGAAGTTGAGCAAACCAGTGCTTGAAGAATCGAGGCTACATCGTGGTCGGAGTAGATGGAATGCCTTTCTAGATGAGTTGCACTTCGTGTGACCTGAGACGTTTCAGAGATGCACGCATCGATCGCTAGCCTTGTGCAAGAGATGCATCGCCACAAAGTGGGTTGACGTTCGGGTTCGCGGTCCGTGATTAATCTATATACATTAAACGCCCTGGGTTTTGGCGCCACCGGATATAATCGACTCGGATGCAGCAACATTTGCAGCAACACTGCAAGTATGTCCAAGACCCCACGGGGTATTAGTTACACTGCATTTCGGTAGCCGTAGGGCTTACATTATGACTGCCGTAGATCCGTGCTGATTCCCGTGAGCTGCTGAGTTGCGCCATCAGCGGAATGTTAGGCATCGCATCGTTCATCTCGGTTGTTGAGCACCTGAGCATGCAGCTTGATACAACAACCACGATATTCTTCGTTGAGTCCCGTCAATACACCGAGAGGTCCACATCGCCCAGAGTTTAAGTAAACAAAGTACCACAACGTAGTGGCTGAAACTCGCACGTGGTTGGTGACCACCTGGACGGCGGCAGTGGCCGCAGCCGAGGATAGATTGCCCATCACCACTTCAAGGACAGCACTGCGTCTCATAAATTAATACTGGAGTCATTGAAATTCTCCTAGCCTATCGCAGGGGTTTCACGCCGTCACCAGACTGGAAACACCGCTGGGCTTCCAATGATCCAAGAGCTCGACGACCAGGGCGTGTTTCCACGAGCGGATGGCGTTCAACTCAGAAACCAGGTCGACTCGTGCATGGAGATGAATTTTTTGATTGCAAGGCTTCGCCAATACCTGGTCGTGGGAGAACGTGGGCGTCAGTAGAAGGCCACTAGAAGACTTCAGAGGAGTATATGAAGGGGCGTTAAGTCCCAGGTTGAAGGCCACTCTCGACAGCAAGCCCATCACTACACAGCTTCAACAATCGCTTCCTACAAGTCATTCACTTTGAATACCATCATCATGCTCTCATTCCTCCTCCTTCTCGCGCCCCTTGTGGCAGCCCACGGCCACGTCGACAAGGTCGTTGCCGACGGCAAGGAATACCAGGGCTGGAACGCTGCTCTCAAGTACCAGACCCCCATTCCCGCCACCGTAGGGTAAGTGACTCTGTACGAACTGCACGGGAAACATGTACTGACTCAGTCCCAAAAGATGGCAAGCCGACAACCTTGACAACGGTTTCGTCTCCCCTGACAGCTTTGGCACTGCCGCCATAGTTTGCCACAAGCAGGGCAAGAGCAACGGCGCCTACGTTACCGTCAAGCCCGGCAGCAAGGTCACCTTCAAGTGGGACACCTGGCCAGTCAGCCACGTTGGCCCCATCCAGGAGTACATCGCGCCCTGCAACGGCGACTGCGGCTCCGTCAGCCCCTCTGACCTGAAGTGGACCAAGATCCAGTCCAGCGCCTGGAAGTCAGGAAGCAACCCAGGAAAATGGGCTACTGACGACCTCATCGCCAACAACTTCGCCTGGGACCTCACATTCCCCAACGTCGCCCCCGGCAACTACGTCGTCCGTCACGAGATCATCGCTCTGCACGCTGCTGGCCAGACCAACGGCGCCCAGGCGTACCCCCAGTGCGTCAACTTTAAGGTTGAGGGCTCTGGCACTGCTAAGCCCAGCGGCGGTGTTGCTGGTACTAGCTTGTACAAGGTAAGATCTCCCACTTGAGTCGTACGATGCAATATCGAATATGTGCTAACGAGATTGTTTAGGCCGACGACGCTGGTATCAAGTTCAACGTTTTCCAGTCCTTCACCAGCTACCCTGTCCCCGGCCCTGCTGTCAACAAGCTCGCCAAGCGCCACCCCAAGGACCTCGAGTACTAGATCCGAACGAACACGAATAATGAGATATGAGATGTCTTGAGGGCATAGGATGGACTGAATCATTCATGGTTACATACTTCTTTGGGGTCGCTCGTTAAGACTTGCGAGACGGTGTATATAGAGCATTGGTGGAGTGTATATAGCATTTTGGAATCACATTGCGTTGTCTTAGAGTCTTGATGCAGCATGATGGCACTTGGGGACTTGTGATTGCCCTTATAGGAACTACACTAGTCAGCTTAGTAGTTTTATTTATACCTGAGTTTGTGATAGTAAAGAATAAGATAAATTAGCCGCCAAATCATGTCATGCATGTCGTAAAGCTTGTAAACAAACACTTTTCGCCTAATCGTAAGTCCCGTCCTCTGCAAGTCCTTTGCAAGTCCTTACACCCACATCAAGCACTGAACGTACTCAGTGCCGCCAGACAGGGTCGGCATCTCAATGCCCTTCCTTCCGGACACTCCCATAGACCGAATTGCGCCGCACTTTTTTTCGTGTGGCATTGAGGACATGCCTCGTTTTGGTAGTCCACATACTTCCAGCCCAAGTCGATACTGACGTCTCTCAAGCGCTCTTCGTTTCCTGGGCCACCTACCTCCTGAAGTTTCTGGGTATGAACTCGCCGGGCTTGTTCTCGAGCCATATGCTTACGGAGGCCTGATGTCATGGGCTCTTGAACTTTAGGCTTCTTGGTGTCTGCCATATCTTGCGCATCCTCGACATCGTCGGAGGCGGGCCGCTTCAGCGACGTGGAGTGGAGTTGTTCACGACGTAGTCGCTCTTTAGCTGCTTCTTCTTGTCGTTTCTGCGCGTTGGCGATAACTTTAGCCTGTCTTTCGTCTGCTTCACGCTGTTTTCTGGCCAGCCGTTCCGTTTCTTGAGTACCTTCCTGAGGAGGTTCTGCATGTCGCCTATGGTTGTCTTCGTTTGGTTGGGGTATTTCCTCCTTCTGCTTGCGAAGTCTCTCCTTAGCGGCCGCATCATTCATACGTCCGGCTGCATGAGCTTGCTCTGTCGTCCGATCTTTCGCATGACGCCAGCGTTCTCTCAGCTCGTCTCTTTCATCTGGTGCGCGTTGTGACACCCCAGCCCCCTTCGTGCGATTTTTCTCTCTCTGCGCTTTCTCCCAGTCAGCCTTTATGCGGGCCTCTTCCTTGGCTCGAGCTATCCCCTGCTGTCTTCGTTCTTCCTGAAGTCGCTCTCGAACGCGCCGAGCTTCTTCCTCGCGTCGTCGGATTTCTTTCTCGTGCTTTTCTTGCTCTTTGCGACGTGCTTCATCAGCCTCGACGCGTTCAGCGTGTCTTTTTGCGGCTATCTCGGCCAGCCTCTTGATCTCCTGATCCTTTTGTTTCCGGAGTGTCGCCTCTTCTGCGGCAATCTTTCGCTCTCGTTCTAGCCGTCTTGCCTGACGCCGTGCCCTTTCTCTTTCGTCGGCTTCCCACACTCCTAGGTTCACACGGTAGGCGTTCCAAGCAAGTCGTATGCTTGGGTGGGACTTGTCGTAATTGCGCCTTCTTTGACTGCTTTTCAGCGTGTCCCAGGCGATGCCAATCTGATAGTCAAACTCAGTCACGCCAAGATAGTCAACAAATTGTAAGTACATACGTTCTGAAATAGTTCAGTGCTGGGTTCCGCGCCAGCGCACTTGCTGTCCGGATGATGGATACGTTGCAGTCTCTTGTATGCTGCTTCTATCTCTGTAGTAGACGCAACCTCATTCATGCCGAGAATCTCGTAGTAGTCCAAGTGCGCGGGTGGCTTGGGAGGCAGGTTCATGATGTAGAAGTAAAGGAATCTGTAGATATTGTAGGACTGAAAGGAAGTAGAAGGGTTGTTCTGGAAGACGGTGTAGGAAGGATACTTAGAGGGCAAGTAGTGGAGTAGTCTTATATACACGCTTAGCGTCTCTCTTAACAGGCGATCTAGTAACGAATAGTAAGGAGGTGAGAGAAACAGGTAAGAAACGAGAAGGCATATTCTAGTTGAAGGTCGGTGAAGCATACTATAGTGTACGGTGAAATAGTTATAGCGGAATCGTTATGTCAAGACGACATCTAAGGTGAGAGAACAAGTAGACTTTCGCTAAGTATTTCTCTAACAAGATAGGACAATTAGCTAGAATAACAGACAACAGCACATACTTTCTACCTTTACCTTAGATGCTCTAGTACACCTCGTAATTTACCTTTACCTTTACCTTTGCATCGGATGATCACCAAACCGGCTTCGGTTGCCCATCTGCACACCGTGGCTTTGCATCTCTTTACCATACTCCATTACTTCTTCCTCCCACTTCTTCAGCGCGTCCATTCCTCCTCCTTCGATAACCTTCTCAACCGCGCCAGCAAGCTTCATAGCGTCTAGAGCAGCCTGGTTCGTGCTGGCAGCTGTGTGTGGTCTGAAACCAGCAAGCGCATCGCCGAGCAATAGGACTCTACCATTTTCTAGCAAGGCAGACGGCGCGATGACATCTGTGATGGCTTGTACGAAGGGTACCTCAGTCTTGTTGACAAGCTCAGCGAATTGCGGTGGCAGTATCTCATTCGCGAGGGCCTTTTGCCGTCTCCATACGTCCTCCTTAATTCCACCCGGTGGTAGTGTGATGTGATGTCTCTTTCCCTCGTTGTCTGTCATGAGTTCGACGTGCTCCGGCGATTCTTCCTTGTAGTTGACGTACCAGACCCAGTTCAGCAATCGCTCGCCAGGTTTGGTGGTCCCGTGTTTCCCTGGTATAGTATACGCAAGTATCTGGATACCCTCGGTGTGGTAGAATGGGAACTTCTCGACGAAGACATCGGTGGCAGCCTGTGAGACTTGCGTTTCGGGTACTGTGCCGCGCCATGCTACGTATCCGGCGTACGTCCGCTTGACGTCGGGGAAGTATTCGGCGCGTATTCTGGAGCTGGGTCCGTCGGCTGCGACTACGAGGTCTGCTTCGGTCGAGAACGTCTCTCCGGATTTGTGTTGAATCGTGATCTTGACGGGTTCTGAGAAGTCCAATTCCAGAGATGATGCAGGTTTTGGTGTCGCAACACTCGTAACCGTACATCCATATTCGTACGATGTCTTTCCCTCCCCTTCTTCCGTCGTGGGTACTTTCGCGTAGTCGGTCTCAGTACCATCGTAGTTCGTTCGTAGGAGGTGGTATAGCAGATCCCAGCTTGTCATGCGCTGCTCCTGGTTGTGACGGCTTATGACATGGCCTTCCTTATCGAGATATAACCGTTGGTGACTCGGGATCGTCAACGTGGTTTGACTTCGGTCGTGCGCTTTGAAGAACTTTTGTACGTCCTGCCCAGCGACCACACCAGCGCCCTGATCCTGCAGAAGCGGCGTCGGATTGCGTTCGAATATGCGGATGTTGAGATCTTTGTGAAGGCGCTTCAATGCGACACCAGTCAGAAGGCCGCCTAGAGATCCCCCTACGATTACGATATCTTTGGGCTTTGCTGGCGCCATTGTGGTACCTAAGTATGTTGCGAAGCGTTGAGTCTGGGTCAGAGCGGTTGAGGTTGAGCCACCAGCTCAATATGGTGGATGCTACATTTTGTGTACTAGGCCGATCATGATCTGCTCAAGGATGCAGTCTTGTATTACCGTTCGATGACATGTTCGAGGATTCCGTCGATGCGGATGCCGGCCAAACATCACGACCAACGGCAAGCCTCGGCAGTTGAAGCAGTGCTTATGTCATCATGACGCGCACTTATCTTATCTTCCTCTCACCTGGGCACCCTCACGAAGTCTGAGTAATTACCCGCCAACTACTGATGTACACATGTTGCACTTATGCAAATTTGTTTCTATCGTGTTTATTGTTTTTTTGTTCTATACGTATAAAGCAACTGCAACCTACGCACACCTGGGTATCCGCCAAATCAAGGCCTGAACTAAAAGCTAATACAAGTCGTCTCACGCAACGCTAAACCTCCTGAAAGACCCTTGGAGGCGATGCAGAACTCATCGTGACCTCTGGCGCACCGCGCGCTTCGCTCTCTCTCGCCAATTGACTCGCGAACTTGCTCTTCGCACGAATCGCCGGACCCTTGAAATAAAAGATGTATACCGGCAGACAAAACAGCGCTGTCAAGCCAAACAGTACCAAATACGACCTCTGAATACCTAGGTTGCTGTACATGGGCTTGGTGTAGAGCGCACATAAACCCGCGAGCAGATCTCTCATGAAGCCGTTGCCACCAGTCGCCGACGCGCTGTGTGGTCCGTAGGCGGCGACCATGTAATCGATGGACGCATAGTAGATGGCGAAGTTCGCGACTCCAATGAGGAGAGTGGCGATTATGACGCCGAACCAGTGGAGTGGTGGCCCTGTTGCGACGAATGCGCAGATGAGCAGCCCAGCAGGAAGGAGGGTGACGAGCCATAGGAGTGGCTTGAGACGTGCCTCAGGTGCGAGCTGTTCGCCTCGGCTACGTCGAGTGTTGTGACGGGCGATGATGGGGACAAAGGTGAAGTAACCGATGATGTATGAAACGGCTAATGCGACGAGAGCAAGCGAGATCTGCGTAGGCGTGAACGACCATTGTTGGAAGACATAGCCGAAGCTCTCGAAGAAAGAGAAGATGAGCGCGTCAGCGAGACCGCTCAGCAGCGAGAGGAAGAGAACGATGGGCTCAGTCAAGAGCAGCTGGTATGGTCGAAACATCGTGGTGGCAACCTCCTTGTAGTGCAGCCTGTCTCTCCATTTCTTGTCTTCATTTGGTCCCCGGATGTTGACATTACCGCTCTTTCGTTCCTTCTTCGCGGCGTTGTCGAGCATCACAGGAGCCAAAGTCTCTTTGGCGATGGCCCCATGAAGTAACTGGGTCGTTACTCCAAGGATGAGCTGGATGTAGAAGTTCCAACGCCAACCCAGGAACTGCTCGAGCGGACCTCCGATAATGCCTCCAATGACTGCTCCGAGACAAGAGAAGAGCGAACACCACAAGACGGCATATTGCTGCTCATCTTTGTGATAAATGTCACCGACCATGCCCATGGTGACTGATCCACCAGCCGAAGACAAGCCGCCCATGATCCTGCCACCGATGATTCCGGCAAAGCTGTTAGACGTGGCGCAAATCAGGACCGAGATGTTCGTCAGCCCAAGAGAGGCTTGCATGACGGGCCAGCGTCCGAATTCCTCAGAGAACGGGGCCCAGAACTCGCAGCCGAAGGCATATGCGATGAGGAAGGCAGTCATACCCAAGCGGGCGTTGGTGATGCCGAAGTAGTCGTTCAGCAGAGGCACGGCGTTGGAGTATACCGAGGCGTTGAGGTTCATGCTGATCTGACAGAATGCGACCACGGTCAAAAGGCACCACTTTCGTTTTGTGGACCAAGCGTGCGCAGTGCGTTCGGGCGAGGTGTGTTCGTTGAGGATGATGGTGGGCGCGAGGCCGGGGGCCGAGGGTTGTGGCGCCAGTGTGGTTGAACTCCCCAGACTGGTACGCGACTGCGCTGGGGAAGAGTTGGTGGAAGCCATATCAGAAGACATGAAGTTTTCTGTTGCTGTTATTTGTGTGTGGTGTATTGGATTGTATGATAGTAGTGTCTTGAGATAACTATCTTAGGAAGGTTGCATTGAACATGCGAGATTATATACTAAGACAGTATGATTTTACGATGGATGCTCAACTTTGGATCATCGTCAGTCACGTCAAAGTACTGTGGTTCTGTCATTTTGCGCATCATGGCTCATCCTATGGGAGAGGGTACATACTAAGCGAAAACTTGGAGACCGACCACATGCACACCACAACCATGGTACGCAAGTAAAGTCCAGTAAGTAGAGTAGAATCGGCATCATTCGTGTAGTCGTCCCACTATACTGCTAGGTAGTAAATATCTGTGAGTACTGCACCATGGGTGGGCGTAGTCGGCGTGGGCCCCCGAAGGTCACCTGACTTCGTCTTCCGGCAGGAGAGTACCTACGTAGTTGAGACACGGTTGCAGAAAACGAGTAGCGGGTTCGCTAAGTGTCGTGTTCAAGATCTTGAGTGACAATCTCTATGCTCAGCGAGCGTCTCTAGTACCAATGATCAGTGCCCAGTAGGTAGCACTTTGAGATACAGCAGTCTTGTACGCGAGAGGCCCGCTTCCCCACGAAGCAGTATCTCCATAGATCCAAGACCATGGCCTTTATCGTCCTTCGGCGCATTCTATACAAGGAAAGAGATGAACGAGTCTGCAGCCTACATTAAGATGAAAACATGCAAAGTAGATGATCTAACGTCAACGTAGGCTCTAGGGTGTTCAGAAAATTTCCTGAACGGGGTGGGCGCATGATATGATGTCGCGTGGCAACGACACAATGATCGGAGATCATGAATACGTTGCCGGATTGATGAACTGCTTATAGAAATGTTATAAAGTATTCTCTATAATGCGTGGCAGTGACGGTAAGATTATGTTTGTGTTTAGCAGGGTTAATTCGAGGCCATTTTAGCACATGACGCTAAGAATACTAGACGTGCGGAAGTCCGTCAGTACTTGATCATATGTATGGTTTCGGTAATGACATATGATCTTGTTGAGTGTGAGGCGAACTCAAAGTCAAAGTGTTAGCGCGTCAGCGCGTCATTTCGCCAATACCACATAACAACGGCAGGGGGTCGGGTTCGCGGGTAGGTACACCACGATATGTAGCAACCCAGTCCAAAACTGTGTTTGCAGGTGAATTAATTGGGCGTCGAGGTCGTACAACGCTCAATCTCTCGACCGCATCCTTGTACCTGATCACGTTCGCAGAAACCAGACGAAGCTCCCACCCTCCTCGGTCGGATGCTGCATCGATATTCAGGTAACCGTAATTACGCGCCCGGCATGCTACTGGAGGTTGCAGCCTTCGTTATCGAAACCACACATCTTTCATGGTGATGCGACATGCCGATGGCCGGAAGGCAACGACACCCTGCCGCCACGGTACAGCCACAGTGGGCATTTTGTCCTCCCGCACGCTTCCCCGCACTAGGTGGGTATGATCGATCAGTTATGCGTGTATCTTGGCTTGAAGGTTTCCGCGGCTCGTTGCATAGTCGACAGGTGCGGAGGTACACCCTCAAGCGGACGGCGTGCCCGATGGACAGCTTGTGACAGCTACGTTGAAGCATCCGCGACAGGAACATAGGTGGCCTTCTAGAAGTTTGACATGAAACCTCTGAGACTGACAGAAGTGTTGAGCATGACTGGACGTAGCGCGATGTTTTCGAAGCCGCGAAGGATAAAAGAACGCATGAACGTCAGACTTTCTGCCGGTCAATGGGAAGACGTGCGAAAGCACAATGAAACGGGAGTACTGCATGGATATTCCTGTATACACAGAATCGAGCTGCATCAATAGTCCAAGTGCTATAGTCGCAGAATTCGGCGCGTGCGGTGCTGCGACACAGCCTGCGAAGGGTAGAGCACACCTGGGCAGTACTGTACCTGCAGCCGCGGCATGCGGTCATCGCCGCCAAGACGAAGCGTTCGAGATTGGAGTTACAACGGAAAGAAGCGGCGTGATGGTTTCTTTAAGCGTGTGTAGCGATGGAAACGCTTGCAAGCACGTAAACGTTGAATTTGGTGTGATGGTAGGAGCGAATCCTGGGGTACCTGGGAAATTGCTGGAGTGCCGAAACCTCCGATGTCTGATCTCGGCATGCGACGATCCAGCCCAGCACGAACCAGAACATGATCTACCCCAACTTCGACACTCTCGTCTCACCGGGTATCCTACCGTTCACACATCAGTGGACTGCACACTGACCGGCATGTTTGGAGGCGGCCGTCAAATTGCTCTCCGCGGTCGCAGCCCGACAAGGTAGCAGCCTGTACCCCCGTGGTAGTCATCGTGACACATTTCTCCGCCATGGCGTTCGCGCGTTTTCCTGCAGTCCTGCAGAAGATGCGATCCCTTCCCGTTACACTAAGAACAGTGACTAGCCCTGGTGGCTCAGTATCATCCGACCCTGCGATACACCTCTCATCGAGCAATCCCTTGCCGCTCAGGCCTCCCCGAGCCGCAGCTAACCTCGCCCTGTTGTATCTTTTACCAGACCCGACCCATGTGCAGGGCAGTTCTAATACCTCTTACGTCTTCCCGCTCTCCCTAGCAGTTGTGTGCCGCCCTGTTCGCCGATGGACATTTGGCATAACCTGTCCCGCCCCCTCGGTATCAGCATCCTTCAATCCTTCCGCTACACGGTCCCACTTTCGTTCTGTTAAGTAAGAGGAGGAGCCTGACTCTCAAATCCTCATACTTCACTGTCAATCGAAACTATCACTCCCGCTTGGTCCCCACACAGCATGATCACCATGCCGCCTCTGTTGCGACCACGAGTACTCGATGGCACAACAAGGGCCAATCTCGACCGTCTCGGTGTCGCTTACATTGTTGTCGCCGTATTGTACACGCTGATACTGAGTGTCGAGCTTTTCTTCCTCCATCGACGTAGGGAGGCTTTTTGTTTGCAGATACG